TAAATAAATAAATAAATAACTCAAAAAGGAGCACTACACTGGAAGTCAAGACCTCAACAGAGTGGAGGTGTTAGTGCTACTCCTTCCACATGTTGGATGGAGGGAGTTTTTGGCTTGGGAGGGCCAGATTGGGCCTGTTATTTTAAGAGGGGGGGTCCATTGACTACAGGTTGGTGGGATCCTGCTGTATGTCATGAGCCATCTGTTAATGTCAGCAATCTGGGATGTGATCCCTTATCAACATCTGAGCCATGATTCTTGGCCACTATGTTTCCTAACTCCACACTTAGTCCCCATAAATATTTACCTGTGTTCTCTGGTGATTTTTGTTGGGGTCTTAACTACTAAAGTAACTGAGTCATGTTAATCTAAGAGTTGGTTTATGTTGGGGTTAACAATGAAGACATCCATGTTAGGACTAGATCCCCTCCCCCTTGCAGATGGCATACCTTTATCTCCCTGGATGGATGCCAAGAATAGTTGGGCAGACAGTGACCTAACTACAACTTAGCTTTCTTGGTTTCCCAGCAACAGTATCTCTCAGTGACCTTCCTGGTACTTTTCCACTAGCCCCCTATATCTATATCTATGTGTATGGCAATGGGCTCTAGCTCTCTTGCTGGGGTCCCCCTCCACAAGGCTCCTGCCTAAACAATAAACCCTAAACTGGTGTTTAAGCCATCTCTCTGCCTCTTCCATACCTCTTATTTTCTAACAGTTTATATAAAACTTTCTAGATGACCTCATGGCTAAACAACTGTTATCTTGGGTGATTCTAATACAGTTGGTATCCTGTATGTGTCTGTGACTGGGCTATTTGGGGTCACTGACCCTGTTCTCCTCCCCCAACTGATAAAAAAAATCTACTGTTTTACTTCAAGAACAACTAAACTAATATGTATATATAACCTCTATAAAGTTGTGATGCTGTTGCTGGTTCCTATATTTATGTCTTCCAAGTATATCAAGCCCTTCAGTCTACAGCCCTACCATCCTGAACGCGCCGACCGCATCTGATCTCGGAAGCTAAGCTGGGTCGGGCCTGGTCAATACTTGGATGGAGGACAGACCTTCAGAGGAGACTGCTCAGCGACAAGCAGTTTGGAGACAAGCGGGGAAATGGCATCAAAGTTCCAATGGAGTCACTGGTGCCAGACCTCCCAGAAATAACCAAGGCTGAGAGGATTAAAGAAATGGTTCTCATGCATGTGTGGCCATCTGGCATTAAAGCCCTTCCAGACACAAACTCACATTTTTAGATAGGGTCTCCTACTTAAATAGAGACAAAATGACTATTTTTACTGGCTCTAAACGTGTCCTTTGATACTTAAAGATGGTGGTTTTGACTTTTTTAAAACAACGCATTTTCTTGGACATATATACTGATAATATACTGTTGCCATGGTAATTCTACTCAGTTAAAAAAATACATTGTCTGGATTAAAAAAAAAAATATATATATATATATATATATATATATATATATATATATATATATATATATATAATGTCCACCCATTAAAACCCCATTGGAGGGCCCTTTTGTTGTTATTTTGTCTACTCCCACTGCAGTTAAAGGAGCAGAGATTGTTCCTTGGATCCACCACAGCCAAGTCAAACCAGCTTCTCTAAAATGGGAGTGCATCCCTGATCCAGCTTCACTATGCAAAATCACCCTCTGGAACCTGAGCACCCTCTCCTGGCAGGACTCCTCCTCTGCTTCCCAGGAAACAACAGAAGACCAAGAACGGCAGGACAACAGCTCTGCTCCAGTCACACCTTGAAAGCCGACTAGTCTACACATGACAGAAGTTGAGGAATCGACTCTCCAACGGGACAACAAAACTGTTTTTTACACCAGTTATCTCACTGTGAGGCACTGTCCCCTTGTCTGTATCCATTGCTGCAGTTCTCAGCCTCGTCTTCGCCATAGGCTTGGCCCCCGCTGACTGGACTCACAGTGAAAGGTCTCTGTTAGCTCTCTTCTCCCTCTTTTGGGCAGGATGCATAACTACTGTTTGTCACTGATGTGGTTTTCCCTTCACAGCCCCAGAGCCCTCCTCCTGTGACCTATGGATGCACACTACTCAGGCAGGAAGTGTTGTCACCAGGACTTTGCTCTTCCATACTTACCATTCCTGTGCTGGCTCTGTCATCGGGTCTTGCACTCACAGCCATACCACCTATCTAGGGTGCTCCATGGTGATCAGCATATCTGCTTCAGCCCCACTTGCCGCCCTCGGGAGCAATGGTTAGAGATCAGGAGCGTCCTCATCAGCCGCACCCAGGTGTTTAGCCCTGATAAACCAGTGTCAATGCTCTTTGATGCATGTGTGGTCATAGACAAGGGTGGGCGTGGAGGTACAGGCTGTAGCTGTGGGGCTGAGCTTGGGAAAGAGCCTGTACATCCAGTGAAAAGTATATGTACGGGGAGACAACGATAGCCTATGTGATGTAATGGTTCTTATTATTGCCCGTTTTGGAGTTGTGTTTCATGGGCCACATGGCAGAGGACACGCAACCCTCCTTCACAAGGGGACAGCTGCCCCTGACTGCACCCGTGGCACCTGTAACCCTGCAAATTTCACGGTACTTAAGCCATCAGATTGGACACGGGGACATATAATTGGCATGAGGATAGATGGAAAGGCCCTTGACCCTGGACTCTGATGCACCTCAAATTAGTGACTGATACCCATGAGAGTTCCTCATACCAAGTTTTTCACTCCATTTATGAGGAAATGAGGAATGAATTTTCCATCTCTGCCAAAGCTAAAAACTTGTTCCTCTCACTGGCTGAGTCTATAGCCCAGCTTCATGACTTTTCTAATCTCCAGAGAGCATGGAACAATCTTACTGCAAACATAGATTGGCGGGCACCCAGGGGTGGATCTGTGGGAAGCAAGCTTATACAGTGCTTCCTATAGCACTGGGGGAATGAAATAGCCAATGAAGTCACATGCAGCCATATGTGGGTTGAGCTTTGTTTTTTGTGTCTGTAACCTGCTTGCAAGGGTATATAAGGTGAGACCCCTTTGTTCTCGGGGCTCAGCCTTTGGACACAAGTCCGCTGGGTCTGTGCCAGCAAAATAAACGTTGCTTCCTGCTAAACTGCCTCAGAGACTCCTATCTCAGCTCATAATTTCCCACAACGATATGACCTTTAGCTGCTGCCATCCATCCCTTGGGAAATTGGAATACGGTTTTAACAGACAGTCACTGGTCTGATTAAGACCTAGGCACCCTCATATCTTGTCCAGCTCTGCTCATATTATCCTGTCTTTCTCAGGTTATCCACTGACCCAGCCAAGGACCCCACCATTCGAGAGTGGTGGTCAGCCTGAGATCTGTGAGGACACAGATGCTCTACAGGACAGGAGGTAGAACCCCCCCCCCAGCATAGCCAATGAGGAGGAAGTCTCCAGAACTGCCCACATTCCCTGCAGCCCTTGAAGGCCTGGATATGGCCCCTGCGTGGTGCAGGCCTGTGTGGTGGCAGATAGGACTATGTGCCTGCAATGTCATAGTACACAGGGATGTCTATGGGGGACACAGAAACAGCTGCCCGGTGAGAGGGACTGTATGTGACAGGCGTCAGCATGTGGAAGGGCAAGACAGCAGAGCTCAGGAAGACATCTAAGTGTGATACACCAAAGGGTGACATTCCAGCTGGCTTTCAGCTTCAGCAAACACATCTCATTGGATTGTGTAGGAGTTGGGTGAGCTGGAACAGGTGTGTGACATTGACACATGTGCAACAACAAAGCACACAATGACCTATAACCGTGTGTAAGGTCAGAATCCTTCCAATACACAGTGGCTCCTGGGCACAACCACAAGATTGGTCCCTCCCTCCTCAGCCTGGCTCGGAAGGGTGGAGCTGTGGCCCAGGATTCGTGGTAAAGATGCAGGGCCCTATGCTTTCTGTAACCCTCCAGCCTGGGGCAGGGCTTTGTGTGGCCCTCAGCAGCAGCTACAGCTCCTTCCCTAGATCCACACTGGCAAGGGACACAGCTTGGGACAACTCAGACAGGGGCATCCTCAGGGCCTCAGGCAGGTTCCTGAGGAAGACCCTGGCATAAGCAAAAGCCAGGAGTGAATGTGGCTGAGCCGCTGGCTTCTCTGCCCCTCATGGCTGGGGTTTGGCCTCATCTGTCAATCACTTCCCTGGGGTCCTTCTGCTCTTCCTGATAGAAATGGTGAGAAGGTGAGAGAACCTCTTCCAGCTCTGGCAGTCCCTGTCCTTGAGTGCCCAGGCTTAGGGGCTGCACGGAGACCCAGAGGCTCCCAGCTCCAGCCCTGAGACTAGGGGCCTTCTGCTCCAGGCTTTGGCCGCAGAGACCATGGCTCTAGCCACTCGGCTTGGGCACTCACTGCTCTGGGTTTAACCAGAGCACTTGGCAGCTCCTGTAATCCTGGGCTTCCAGCAGCCCTGAGCAGCAGCGGGCAGTGCCTGCTCATGTCACAGCTCCTGATCCAGCCTCAGGTGTCAGGACCCTCAGCCCTACAGTGGGTTGTGTTACAGCTCTTGGGTCTACAATGTCTAGACCCCTTGCCCTTAAAGCTTCGCAGCTCCCTACAACTCTTCCACCCACTAGGGCTGCAGTTTTTCTCTGACTCTTCACAGCCCTCTATTCTTCCTTCAGCCTCAGCTCTTGGCCCTCACTTGCCTTCTCTTTATTTCCACCATCCCTCATTGTCTGCACCACTGGTTTCTCCTCTGGTCGGTTCTGCCCCAGGTGCTCTCTGGAACGCCACACACTCTCTAATTGCTAGTTCTGTTGTCACTGCCATCTGTGGGTTACTGTGGAGGTGGCCTGGGTTCTGAGCTCTCTCCTTTGATCTTCATAACCAGCTAACATTATTATGACGTTTAGCAGCAGAAGAAACTGAGGCTCAGACTCAGTGAGTTGCCTGAGATCTGGCAGTCCATACCTCCAGAACAAATGGCCCAATAAAGGGGAAAAACTCCAAAAAGTGAGAAAGTAACAAAACACATCTATTTCAAAATCATGACTGCCCCAGCTCACCAAGGTTCTAGAATACATGCCATGTTGCACCCTGGACTCTCCCAGCACACGGGAAGACCTTGCAAAAGGTGGGACTTGGGCAAGGCCAGCCACATGAGGAAGGGTGACCCTGCTCTGTGTCAGGCTGGTGCCTGAGCAGTGCCCACTAACAGGTACAGCCCTATAGGATTCTAGCCAAGACAGGGCTTCTCTCGTTGGCTAGGTCTGCCCTGGCCAGGGTGGATGGGTGGGCACTGGGGACGGGCCACAGGCCACACAGAGCCAGGTGTCAAAATTCTACTTTGTTGCACCATGGACGGGTTCTGGGACAGACTTGACCAAGAAATGGTCTATCACAGCATAAAATATGGATTATGAAGTCCTTGCCCAGCCGGGCTCAGGTGTAGTGCCTGCCACCTGGTGCAGGTGGAAGAAACAAGCATCAAGTCATAGGCAGAGGCAGGCATACAGGCATATGGCCACCTGAGGAGGGCTGGACTGAGCTCGGCCAGGAGTCACCTGAGCCCAGGCAGACTGGTCTGCTAGTGTGTGTGCAAAAAGGGATCCCCCGCCCAGCTTTGACAGCACGAGCATGTCTTTGGGTCTTGTGAGAAACGCACATGATCGGGTCCCATCCCAGACCTCCAAGGAGCGGCTTGCGTCTTGGGGGAACGAGGGGCACACTCCACCTTGAGCTAACTCAGCCGCAGGTAGGAGGGAGCAGAGTAGTTGAAGAGCAGGAAGTCCATCTTGTAGAGGTCAAAGAGCCGCTGCTGGTAGAAGGGGCTGATGTCCTGGAAGAGGAGAGCAGCCTGCTCGCGCGCAGGGTCCGCTTTGGGCCGCGGCGGCGCGGGGAAGCGCAGGCCCGGGGCGCCCACCAAGCCCAGCAGGAAAGCGGCGTCATCCGCCAGCGTCTCGAACTTGCCCACCACGTCGTAGCGCAGGCGGCACGGGTGGCAGAGAGCGTGCGCGCGCTCCCAGTGCTCGTTGAAAGGCTCGTCGCGGCGCGTGCGTGGGTCCAGCAGGTAGGCCAGGAACTCGGCGAAGCGCACGTCGTGGCCGCGCGCCAGCGCGTCGGGGTGCGCGCGCGGCCGCAGGCGCCGCACGATGCGCGTGCCGTAGCGCCGCTGGAAGGCCTCGCTGTAGGGCCGCGCGAACTTGTTGCGGTAGGCGGACGCCAGGCGCTCGAAGGGCTCGCGCACGAACAGGAAGGCCAGGTAGTCGCGCAGGCGCCGGTTGATCTCGGCCGGGCTGAAGTCGGCCAGCGAGGGCAGGCGGCCCGGCGCGTGCGCCTCGTGCGCCGGGATGGCGCGGGGGTCGCCGTGCGCGCGGCCGCTCAGCGCCAGCAGCACGCGCTTCCAGTTGGTGCAGGCCACCTTGGGCACGTAGCAGTAGAGCAGGCCGTGCGCGTCGTCCACCAGCACGTGCCGCAGGTCCTCGGGCCGCAGCAGGCGCTGTCGGCGCGTGTGGCGGCTGCAGGCTCGGCGCAGCAGGTCCCGCCGCTGCCGGTGCAGCTCCACCAGGGGCGAGCGCGGGCCCTGCGGGCGACAGGCGGGCGGAGAGGGGCGGGGGTTGGGGGGACGCGCGTCAGAGCCATGGCGCCGCGCCCAGCCGGCCGAGGATGGGAGGAGTGCGCCCGGGGATTACGGCAGGGGCTGGGCCGCCACCAGGATTCGAACCCCAGAGCTGCGCACCAATCACCGGGTGTGTGGTTTGGGGCTCGGGGGTCTGTGCTGGGCTTGGGTTTTGAGGAAATAGAGACTGACTGTGAGGAGGCAGTTTAGGATGGGACGAAGCACAAGTGCCAGCTACTGTGCGCGCATGATGAGGGCGCTGCGAACGAATCGCCAAGGGCGGCGTACTCTGGATAGACAAGGAACCACGGGCACAGGTGACCACCTGCTCACTTTACCAAAAGCAGCATGCTATGTGACAACAGTGACTTTAGCTCCATAGAGGCCCGAGAAGTGTCCCACAGCCGCTTGCAGGGTATCGGTGATTTTAAATGATAAATTTGCTAATTTTGTATTTATGAATGGGCACAGTCCTTTGACCCTTGATTTACTTTCCCCGTCATCCCCTCTGCAACAAATTCTAACTTCAGTGCTTTGGGGCTGGAAGCTGGTCCTTTCTGACACTGTCCTCCCTCCCCTCCTCCATAAAATAATAACCACCAGCATTTATCTAGCACTTGCAGTGTGCTGTTCACCCACAACTCTAAATTCAGTATTATTGGGAGGAGCACAGGCCCAGCCCACCCGGCCTGCCTCAGCATGCAGAGACCCAGGCAGCGCCCCTGAGTCCCCTCAAATCCCTTCTGCCTCAAATGGGTCCTCATCCCAGGACAACCCTCTGCCACCACCCCTCCCCCATGCTTTTTTGTCTGAGTTCTTAAAAGAATGTGTGTTAATTGCTTAAAATTATATTAAAAGCCTTTGGGATCTAGTAAGAAAAAAAAGACCGTAAATATTGGTGGAGATGTGGGGAAAATGGAACCTTCATAGGTTGCTGGTGGGACTGTGAAATGGTACTGTTGCTGTGGGAAGCAGCTGGGCAGCTTCCCCCCAAAAGTGAACATAGGATCTAGCAATGTCCTCTCAGGTATACCACACCCAAGAGAACTAAAAACGTGTGACACACAAAAACTTGTAGGTGGATGTTCGAAGATTATTCCTACTTACTAAAAAGTGCAAACAACCCACATGTCCGTCAGCGATGAGTGGATAAACAGTACATGGTATATCCAGATAACGGAATATTATTCAGCCATAAAAAGAATGAAATTCTGACCTATGTTGCGACATAATTAAACCTTGAAAACATAGTGCTACCTGAAAGAAGCCAGACACAAAAGGGCAAATACTCTAAGTTTCCTTTTTTATGAAATGACCGGAACTGGCCACTTCTCCTAAGGAAACAGCCTCAGGGTATTTCAGTCCAGAGGAGGTCAGAGCCGCAAAGTGGAGCCCCCATCCCGCACCTGTGTGAAGTGTCTGATGTCAGTGGAACACATGCATGCACACGGCACCCGCACACTGCACACCTGTGCTTCTGGTGGTTCTTAAAGTATTCCACAGGTGTCCAAGGTACACTAAGTGAAAAAACCCAAAGTGAGAACCAGGAGCTTTCCTTTTGTGTTTAGAGGGCAGGGCAGGAAACTGCAACTCTTCCAGGAAGGACCAGAGTGGGATGCTTTTTCTTTTACAGGTAAGAAGTGACACAGTCACAGGATCCACAGGGCTGGGACTTGCTTCAGAGCAGCCCGGGGTGGGAGGGAGACAGGGTGAGGATGTGGGGTTCCTGTGCTGATTCCTGAAAATGACAAAGGCAAAGACAGAGGCGTGGACACACACAGCTATGGGCGAGTTTGGAGAGGTTAGTAGGAGCCAGGACAGCACAGCTGGCATGCCTAGAACCTTCCTGGAAGGCCTCACGGGGACTGGTCGAGAACCAGGGTGGGATGGACACTGGTCCTCGCTGGACTCTTGTCCTTCAGTGCTCATTATGTTGCTGGGTCACAGCGTCACCATGGGGGTGGCTGCTGAGTTGAGCCATGGCCACAGGGACTGGAGGCACCTGGAAGGTCCTGTTCTCCCTGTCAGGAATGGTGTCTAGAGCCTGGCTGTGCACAGCACCAGCAGGCTGTACTCTGGGGGCCTCCAGACCACTCAACGTGGGCCCTGCAGCAGGGAACGCCAGCCATCCACACAGTGGACAGCACTGTTTCCTTGCCAGCTGACCCCTCTGTCATGAGCCTGTACCCAGACTCAGGAGGAACCAGCCATGTAAACTCACATGCTACAACAATGGGTCCAGGGTGGCCATGTGGCCTGGTTCTGGCCAGAGAGAGGTTAAGGGAAGTCTGTTAGCAAGAAAGACTTTCCTTTAGGGAAAAAAAAAAAGGAGGGATTTATCCCATCCCTCCCTTTCTGCCTGAGATACTCTCCTGTGAGATGTCTGGAGCCCTGGTAGACATCTTGCATCCATGAGGCAACACATCCATGACAGAGGTCAACATCCAGTATAGCAGTGGTTGAGGTGTTACTGCTGTCTCTGAGAATCTTGGAACTAAACTGTCCTGATGGCTTAAAGCAGCCTCATTCAGCACTGCTTTTGCTTCTAGACTGATAACTACCAAGACAGTCAACACTACCCCATTTAACAGATGAGAAAACCCAGGCTGTAAGGAAATGAGTTGACTGAGGTCACACAGCACTCAAGTAGGGAAGCTGGGTTCACCTTGGGTCCTCTGGGATGCCAGAGCTGGTGTTGTGCCACTGGCCTGGGGCTGTGTCCTGCAGCCACTGTCCTCATCCCTTCCAATAGCTGCCTGCATTCCTAGCTGGCTCAGTGTTGGTGAGCTCTGTGCCCTCTGCAGGGACTGAGGTGCATCTGTAAGCAGGAACGATCACACCTCACCGTATGGGGTTCAGGAGGAGTAAATGAGTCCATATGCCCAGCACAGGGTCAGCATTGTCTGCTGTGGTCACATACCCAGACCCAAGGCTAGACACCAACAGTCACCATCTGTCCCTCCAAACCTTCCAGAGCCAGTGGAACCCAAGGCCCTACTGAGAGCATGGTCTCCCCTCAGCCTGCTGTGTGACTCAGGGCAAGCCAGTCACCCTCTCTGAACCAAGGATTCCCTGCCTGGAACCTGAGGTGTGGGCCAGATGAGCTCATGGGCCCCAGCTCAGCCCCAGGCTTCAGTGAGCAGCCCACACTCAACCCCACACTGATTGCTCTCCATGCACTAGCCTGGAAGAGAACTTTCTGAAGGTAAAAGTCTGACTGTGTCTCTCCCTTAAAGCCCTCCATGGCTCCCTACTGCCCTTGCTACACCTGTGGGGCACACCTGAGAGATGTGCCCATCTCTCCCAGCACCTCTTCTCTCCTGCCTGTCACTTTCCGCTGCACCTCCTACTTCCCCTTCAGAGCAGGCAGCAGCTGCCTTTCAGCGCAGCTAATATGGACTGGGCTGTCAGTCAGATCCACTGTCAGCCCCACAGGACAGGGACCCGGCCACTGTCTGCCAGCAGATCTCAGCACACTGGGCGCAGCCTGCATGCAGTAGGGGTTCGGTGCACACTATCTGCCCAATGCTTCTCTGCATGTGAGCCTGGGGCGTGGGGCTTCCAGCAAAATACAGTTGGCCCCTGACCTACGTTGGTTTGAATTCTGACTTGACTGCGGCCTACTTTGGCGCAAAGGCGATACACACTCCGCAGAAATCACATTTTGAATTTTGGGTTTAGGCCTTTTCCTGGGCTAGCGATAAGGCGCAGGGATCCAGTCTCCCAGTGCACAGCACCGCAGTGAGCCACAGCTCCCAGGCAGCCCGTGGTCACGGGGAACCAGCTGTCCTCTAGGGGGTGCTCGGTGACCGCGCTGGATGGCCCACAGGTCGGGTGCGTTAGATGGGTCTTTGACTTCCCATATTTCACAACGGGTTTCTCGGGACATAAGCCCATCGTGAGCCCGGAGCGTCTGTACAGCTGTGTATGTGAGTGGGCTGGGGGCCATGTGTGTGCACAGCAGGAGCCGAGCGCATGGACTTGGTCCACCTGCACCCAGCACACGTCCTTGTCCTGGCACATACTGAAATTCGACCCAGGTCTGCCTTCCTCTCTAATGCCTGCAGGTACCGAGTGTGGCCTCAAGCTACTGTGGGATGGATGAAAGGTGGGAAGAGGGGTGGAAACCCTGGGGCTCCCACCTTATCCCTGAGACTTGCCCAGACACGTTCTCCAGTAGAGTGTGGGACTGGGGAAGATGTACCCCTGCCCCAGGGTGGTCTGACCCCCTGCCAGCAGGTGCACATGGAGCTCTGGGTTCCCATGGCTGGGAGAGCAGGGAGACTTCCCTGGATGGTTCTGTCCACCTACCTGGTCCAGGTCATACAGCAGCTGCCGAGGACTCCTCATCCCACGGCGCCAGCTGGAGCCCAGAGTCCTGTCATCAAATGCTGTAGGACACAAGGAGAGAGCTGTCACTGCTGACCAGGTGAGCTGGCCATAGACAGAGGTTGGGAGGGTTGGGCAGCCCACCATGGGCCCACTGGACCCACCGCTGGGACTGAGTTTTTCCCATTTCCCCTGCCGCATGGGGGCTTGGTGGAGTATAGAGGTCACAGACAGGGCTCTTGGTCCACCAGGGCAGTGTCCCTGGGTCATTCCTGCCCCCATATCCTGCCCTCCAAAGGCACAGGTTGCCAGGCAAGAGGGGAAAAGAGGAAGGCCGTACCCAGCCTACCAGCCCCACCCACTCCATCTGCCTGAGTCTCATGCCCATCTCTGCCAGGCCCGCATCAGTAGAGCCCTGAGGGGCTCACTGGTCTGTCCAGCACCCAAGGTTCTGGGTATGGGCATCCAGAAAGAGCTTGTCAGCCATGGAGGTCGTACAGCCAGGCTGCAGGCTCTCTGAGTGACAGCCCACCAGGTTGGGTGACCCACTGCGGACTCCTAAAGCCTGTGCAAGCCCAGCAATGGATATGTTCCCTCATGTGAATGCAGATTCACCTGTCACCAGAATGGAGCCCCTGGGGCAGGGACACTGTCTGTCTCATTGCTGGATTCCTCAGTTTCCCTAAGACTAAAACTCATTTGCCGATTTTTTTTTGTGGGTTTTTTTTTTTTTACCATACTGGGAAGTGAATCCAGGACCTCACGCATGCTAGGCAAGTGCTCTTCGCTTGAGTCACATCCCTGATCCTTTTGTTTGTATTTTGTTTTGAGACAGGATCTCACTACCTTTTTGCCTGGGCTGGCCTCCTGAATAGCTGGGATTATAGAAGTGAATACCATGCCAGAAGCTGATAATTTTACTCTTTTACTCAAAACCCATTTTAAGGAAAATCATTTTAAACACACTCAATGAATGCAAGCATGTAGACGGTCCCTGACAAAGATGATTTGACTTACAGTTTTCAACTGCGGTGGTGCCAAGGCATTGCATCGGGTAGAAAGTGTTCTTTGAATTGTGGTCTACCTTTCCCAGCTAGCAATGTGTGGCAGGACCCTCTCTTGATGCCGGCTGAGGCCACACGCACTGTGCGGCCAAGCATGAGGTTCCCTAGCTCGAGTATGTTGAGCATGTTTTACTTGTGACATTTTCAGGTAACCATGGAGCATCTCTGTTCTCTATAAAATGCTTGTAGTAGATGTAGATGATCACATGCACCTTAATAATATTTATTTGACTTTTTGAGACAGGTCTCCTTATGTAGCCTAGACTGACCTCAAACTCAAATCCTCTTGCCTCCACCTCCCAAGTGCTGGCATTACATGCATGCACCACCACACTGGCTGATCATGTTCTTCTTGACTATGAACACCTTTATTAATAAACTGATGAAGTAGCAAGAAAGGGGAGGCCAGAAAAGAAACAGACAGGCTGTGTTCTGATAATGAGGCAGGGGGAGGGGATGGCACAGCAGAGAGAAAGAATTTAAACTTTTTGCTTCTGTAACCTGCTTACAAGGGTTTATAAGGTGAGACCCCTTTGTTCTTGGGATTCAGCCTCTGGACTGAGTCCACTGGGTCAGTGCCAGCACAATAAACGTTGCTTCCTGCTAATCTGCCTCAGAGACTCCTATCTCAGTTCATAATTTCCCACAACAATAGCACATAATGCAGTCTTTGGAAAAATTGCCAAAATTTTCAAAGCATCCGGCAAAACCTAACCAAGAAGCAAACAGAAAAGATTCAAATTACTAAAAACAGGAATGAAAGGATATTACTACCAACCTTAAAGAAGTAAGAAAAGATTGCAAGAAGATAATATGAACACTTGGAGGCCAAAAAATTAGATAACCTGTATAAATGGACAAATTTCTAGAAGGACAAATTCCTGAAATTGACTCAAGAAGACCTCAGTAGAAGGCAAGGCACAGGAGCTCATGCCTGTAATACCAGATACTCCTGAGGTAGAGATCAGGAAGATTGCAACTGGAGGCCAGCCCAGGCAAGAAGTTAGCTAGAACCCATCTCAACCAATAAACTGGGCATGCCTGTCATCCCAGCTATGCAGGATGCAGGAAGCATAAATAGGAGGATCACAGTCCAGGCCAGCCAGGCAAAAACGCAAGACCATATTAACAAATAACTAAAGCAAGCTGGGCACTGGTGGCTCACACCTGTAATCCTAGCTAATCAGGAGGCAGAGATCAGGAGGATCGCAGTTCAAGGCAGCCAGGCAAATAGTTCATGAGACTGTATCCCAAAAATACCAACACAGAACAGGGCTAGCAGAGTGGCTCAAGTTGTAGAATGCCTGCCTAGCAAGCATGAGGCCCTGAGTTCAAATCCCAGTACTGCCAAAAATTAAAAACTAAAGCAAAAATGTCTGGGGGCATGGCTCAAGAAGTAGAGCACCTGCCTAACAAGTGCAAGGCCCTGAGTTCAAACCCCAATAGCTAACAAAAGAAAAGAAATGAAAAGAAGAAAGAAAACCTCAATAGACCTGTAAGAGAGAAAGAGATTGAATTAGCGATTACAGAAATTCCTACAAAGACAAGCCCAGGATCAGTTGACTTTATGGGTGGATTTTACCAAATGCTCAAAGAAGAATTAATTCTTCATAAATTCTTTTGAGCAATGCAAAACGAGCAATCACTTCCCAAGTCGTGAGGCCACTGCTACCCTGATACCCAAACCAGACAGAGATGTCACAGGAAGACAGATGCCAAATCTTCAACCAGATACCAGCAAACCAAATCCAACACCATGTCTCATCCAAGCACATGTCTCAGCCAAGTAGGGTTTATCCCCTGAGTGCAAGGCATCACAACAAAACTCAGTTGGTGTTCTACACCTCAGTCATAGGATAAAGAAGAATGTGATCACTGCTGTGTATAGAAAAGCACTGGACAAAATCTAATACCCTTCTTCATGATGAAACACTGACCAAGCCAGAAACAGAAGGGAATGCCATCAAGGCACAGCTACCATAATGCTTACTGCTTCCTCCTCAAGACCAGGGATGGGGCGAGGACCCCCACCTTTGCCATGATACTTAGTGTTGCACTGGAAACTCTAGAAGGGGAAACTAAAGGCTGGAAAGAGAGAAGTAAGGCTGTGTCACTTGTGGGGACGTGGTCCTGTATATGTAGAAATCCCTAGAAACCCACATACGCCATTAGAGCTAGTAAGTTCAAGAAGGTTGACAGGTACAAGATTAATATACAAAATGGCAGATAATCAAAAATGAAACTAAGAAAATGGCACATACAACAGCATCAAAGAGAACAAACTGAGAAGGAATAAACTGATTTTTAGAAAGGGTACACTTGGAGGATTGAAGGAATTTAAAGCTCTAAGTGGATGGATCAGCATTCTGTGCTCATGGATTGGAAGACTGCTGTGAAGATGGCAGTGCTCCCCATCCACATCTCCCAGAGCCAGCTGTGTGGCACAAGACTGAAGTCCCAGCCCAGGAGGCTCAGGCAGAAGAATCACTTTCAGGAGTCTGGAGCCAGCCTGGCAGCATAGCAAGACCCCATCTACTCATCTTTTTTTAAAAAAACCCAAATTCCAGCTGCCTTTTCCTGCAGAAATTGACTTTTCTTTCTGTGGTACTGGAGATCAAACCCAGGGCTTCATGCCTGCTGGACAAGCACTGTACCACTGAGCTACATTCCTAGCCCCGAAGTCAACAATGGGGCCTTACCTTCAAGGGAAAAGTGAGGGGGTTAGAATATCCAAACAAGGTGGCTTGTGGGTGGATGGGTTGGTGGGTTAGCTGATTGGTTTTCTTTGGGGGAGGTGTTGTTTGGTTGGGTTTTTGTTGTTTGGTTTGTTTGTTTTTTAAGACAGGATCTCACTATGTACCCCAGGCTGGCTTGCAGTTCACAATGAGATCCTACCTCAGCCTCCAGAGTGCTAGGATTATAAAAATACACCACCATGCCCAGCCCAAAACAATTTTAAAAATAACAAAGCTGGAAATTCATAATTTTTTAGTGGCACTGGGGTTTTGAACTCAGGGCTTCACACTTGGTAGGCAGGCACTCTACCACTTGAGCCATGCCACCAGCCCTTTTGTTTTAGTTATTTTTCAGATAGCTTCTTGCACTTTTGCCCAGGCTGACCTGGAACCACAATCCTCCTGGCTGTATCTCCTATGTAGCTGGGATTTTATACATGAACAACCTTGCCTGCCTTGTTCATTGAAATAGGATCTCACTCCGTTTTTTCAGGCTTGCCTCAAACTGCAGTCACCCTACTGCCTCCCCAGTAGCCGGGATTACAGGGATGAGTCACTACACCCAGCAAAGGATTCACACCTTGTTTTTACCACTTACCACAAAGCTCCAGTGGTGCAGATTGTATGGTCAATAAATGATTATGATAGAAATCAATGAAGCAAAACCAAGAGGTCAGAAGCCCTAATATTTATAGCCAATTGATATGTAGTGACTAAATATCAGTCCAAAGGGGAAAGAATAGCGTTTTCAACAAATGGTGCTGGGTTACACAGACATCCACTGCAAAAGAACGATGTGAGACCCCAACCTCATGCTATGTACAAAAATCAACTCAAAATGGATCATCAGCCTAAATGTAAGAGTTAAAACTATGAAACGCTTAGATGAAAACACAGTGTAAATCTCTATGACCCGAGACCAGGGGATGACTACTTAGATAGGACACCAGAAGCCTGAACAGCAAAAGAAAACATAGATAAATCAGACAGTGACAGCTTTTATGCTTCTAAGGATGCCATCAAGAAGGTAAAACAACAACCCAATAATTGGGAGAAGACACTGGCAAATCACGTTGCTTACAAGAGACTAGTACCCAGAATGTAGGGGGACCCCTATGACAATGAAAGACACCCCAAACTTCAATAGGCAAAGAAGCTGAATAGACCGTTCTCAAGATGGACAGATGGGCAGCAAGCACATGAAGATGCCCAGCATCAGTACCCATTAGGGGAATGAAAATCAAGCCACCAGAATGACTGTAA